CAGTACAGCAGTTAGAGTGGGAGAGAGATAGACTTAGAGAGAGAGAGCGAGAGAGAGAGAGGGGTAAAGCCTCACTTCATTTTATTATCAAGCGTTATTCTGCACGTAATTGTTTTGACGTCACTTTTGCAAATTGTCCTTTTTTCTCTCTCTCTCTCTCTCGCTTTCTCACGCTCTCTGGGTTGCTGTTTGCTGCTTTTGTTATTGTTTTTTATCGTGCGGCTGTGGCCGAGTCGTGACCTGACAGCGCGCTTAGTTTGCTGGCTGCTTGGCTCAACTAGTTCATTAACCAAAGGTATTGCAATTAATTGCTAAATGCCAGAGCTAATGACAGACAAACACACGCAAGCACACACACACGCACACACACACACGCATACACTCACTTGCTGCAAATGAGCGTGGAGCACGCGCGCACCACCTGGCGTATGCGCAATGTGGCAAACGATTTGTCCCACTAAAACCGCCAACAGATACAATTAACACAGCTATCTGGCATTGTCAATCATGATTTAGCGCATATTCAGCGCCATTTGGGCCGCGGCCACACCTTCGCGTCTAATCGAGCCAGATAAGCGACTATATATGTGGATATGGCTAGAGCTATGCATATGTTCAACTTACCATATGAAGACACACACACACGTAGACAAGCTGCTGTTTATTATAGCCAGGAACAGAGCTGCAAGAGAGAGGGAGAGAGAGAGAGAGAGTGAGGAAAATTAGTATGCTAGGAAATAAGTCAAATAAATGTGACCAACTGAGAGACACACACACACAGTTGAGTTGAGTCACAGTTCAGGAAATTGCTAAGTATTAACGGCTAAGCGATACTCTGGCATTATTTAAGTATCGGAATAAATATGGGTATTAATAATAATCCATTTGGGTGATAAGAGTCAAATGAAGAGGGAAATAGATGGATTTAAAGGAGGAATACAGAGGAGGGTAGAGAGATGGATGGTTAACAAATACATAGAAGGATAGATAGATGGATAAATTGAAATATGAAATTGTGGATATTGGATAAATGGATAGGAGAATATATGAATATAAAAATATTTATCAACCGACATATAAATATGGATCGATAGATGCTTAAACAGGTGGACATATAAAGTATATACAAGTATAAAGTAGACAATTGAATAAATGATGCATTTATATAGATATAGATAGGCGATTAAACATATATATGAAAATATATTTATATATGCATGATTATATATATGATGATATGTAAGCAGCTTGCTGAATATAAGTTGAGAAAAAGATATAAATAAGTCAAAGCGAAAAAAAAAATAAATAAATAAAAGAATCAATTATCTATGGCAAGTAAATATGTCGATAAAAGTAAATTGGATAGAACTCAATACAGATAAAATGCTAGCAAAATGATATGGAAAATTCCAATTGAAAATTAATAATAGATTGGATGATTGACAGATATGTATATATAAAAATAATATTTATTATGAAACATTAGAGGAAATATAAACTTAAAACTACTAAAGCCTTTGTCATAATGAGATATATGTATATGAAAATAAACAACTTGGATATGGATAGAAACACACAAGTGCCATACTTATCCCGATCAAGGTATTTCATATTAAAAATGTGATTTAATGCTAGAAATATTCGCAAACTTATCAAGGTCATAGCGGGTCATAGCGAGGCTTTTCTGACAACTCTCTCAAATGCACCATACCCCTCAATCGTTATCTAGACGGGGCATGCAGCCAGTTATGCATTTCGTGGCAGTTCAATAAACTTTTTGCTCAGCTTCAAAGGGTATCAGAAAAGTGCTCCGCTTGCTTGTTGTCTGTTTGTAGTGTCTGCTGAATGCGCCAGTGGCTCTGCCTGTGCCAGTGCCAGTGCCTTTTGCATGCAAAACAAACAAACAAATGAAACACACAGACAGACGCACCCACACACACATACACACACACAGACATACACGCATACACATGAATTGACATTGAACTAAGCTTAGGGCTGAGATGATGCAGAAGCAGCTCGCTGATTGCCGCCTGCTGAGTCAGCAGCAGCAGCAGCAGGATAAGCAGGAGAAGAGGCAGCAGCAGCAGGAGCAGCAGCAGCAATCCCTAGCATCAGCGACAGATCAGATGCTATTGACACAACAGACGAAAAATCTGAATGCGAAACAGAATATGTATCTGAAACAGGAGCAGGAATCGGAGGAATATGAATCTGAATCAGAATCCGAATCCTGTTTGGTCGCTGGGGGCCCTCGAGTGCAATCAATGCTGACAAAGTCAGCGAGCGTCTAAATGAAGCCTTCATCTTCATGATGACGAGCGAGTAGGAGGAGAAACCCTTTGGCTCATCATCGTGCGGCAGCTGCTTTTAGCCCTGTCATCGAAATGTCTGGTAATCCGTTTTTATTTTGTTTTTCTGCTCGGCAAAATGCGCAGCGTACGCGCCTTTAATTAAATATGAGCGTCGAGTGTTTCAATTAATTATTGGCAAATGTTCTACGCAAATAAAATAAACAAATCAAATATATAAAAAAATAAAAAAAGAGAAAAGCAAAAGCGAAACAAAATGGAAATAAATTAATTATGCTCGCCTGGCTAGGCGAGTGCTGCTGCTGCTGCTGCTGCTGCTGCTTGGAAAGTTAGCGACAGAGCCTTTAGCAAATAATTAAAAAGGGACGAGTTAGGCCAAAATCTGAAAAAGTAATTATTTGGACCAGGCCTGCCCAGTCGTACAGCCTGCTCCCCACTCGCTCTCCCTCTCCCTCACTCTCTCTCTCTTTGGTTCGTACATAAGCCAAACTTTTGCAGCGAATTAAAATTAATGAAAATAAATTTTCCAAATTGTTTTAGCAACCCCATTCGCCCATTCGCCCATTCGTACGCTGCCCAGTTGACTCTTGAAAATGATTCGAGTGTAATAAAGCAAAAGGAAGACGAAAGGGTTCTTCGGGCTCTGACTATGCAGAGTGAGCGAGGATTGGGGCACTGACTTGACTTGGCACATGAAAACACTTAAGAAATTTAGTTCTTGTTCTCAATCTTGTATTTGAGGTCGTTTCGGGGGCTCAGCCTGGCCTGTGACTGGGCTTGACCTTTCCCCATGCCCATTTTCCCTTTTACATTTTGGCAATTCATGCTGTTTGTTTTCCCTTTTTCCGGGCGCCATCTTCAAGCTCATTTGCGATTGTATTAAAATAATTAAATATTCGATTAGGCAACGGCTCGCGCACTTCAACTTCATTAATAAAATACGGAGTAAGTCCACTTTGGGTTTTGTTTTCGCCTGGGCGGAAGGAAGCTCCGGCTGTTTACATGCATGTCCTGAGGTCTAATTAGCCCCGGCTTTACATGCGTCTTAGCCGCTGCCTTTTGCCATGAACTTTTAATGCGACTTCTGGCCAAAAACTCGCTGCCATTTGTTTATTTAATTAAGCGCATTAAATGTCCAGCGCTTCGATTTACTCGACACCCACACACACACACGCACACACATGTGCAGAGCTTTGAATCTCCCTCTGTGTGTGTGTGCCTGTGTGTGTCGTTCCATATGTTAACACACATACATATGCATAATTAATGGCCGGCTTTTGTGTACGCTCCTTTTTTGACCATATTGAGCTGTTTTTGACCATATTGCGTGTAACAGCTTCTCTTCTCACTGTCGATACACGCTCAATAAAGCAAGCAGTGAGTGTATTGGCTTTTATGTCTCTCTATCTGGCAGTAAAGTCTTAGATTTGTACTTTGGAATACATAGAAAATATAGAATATAGAATGTAGAATATAGAATATAGAATATAGAATATAGAATATA